ATATTTGCAGCAGCAATATTTCTTACATGCTCACAGCAGCATGTTGTGGATGTATTGGCAGTAGCAAGTCTCGGTGCAGCAGCAGCAGCAGCAGCAGCAGATCTATTCCGCCAAGACCAAGAACATTAACATTGTCATGTACATTACCATGCCAATCCCTGTTATAATAGAGTTGTTATAACAGAATTGTTTTAGTGATATGATGTGATTATTTGTTGGAGATGTTTCTCTGTTTTCTGTGTATTAAAGTTTTTTCAAAATTCAAAAATTCTCTCTCTCTCTCTCTCTCTCTCCAAGAAAGGTATATTCACTCGACAAGCTCGTGCATCTGCGCCGCCGTGTGCTCAATCCACTCAGTGTGCTTTGCTTATCACCTGGCGCACATCAGCTATACAGTCAATACTGAATGTTTAACATTATTGTGTGGTATCGGCGTTTGGTATCGGGGCATTTTAACGAGTACGAGTACGAGTACAGGAGCTCAGTATCGGGCCCGATACCAGTATCGGGGCATCCCTAATATATATATATATATAAATAAATGTTTTAAATTTCAAGTAATTTCAATGTGTATTCAAGTACAAATTACATTTACTTTTTAAAAAAATGAATAGACCCAGACAAACAATTCTTTGACATTTACCTATGAAAAATTTCCACATTTTCTTTGAGATCAAGTGTGCATTTTTGGTACTGTTCATGAAGAATAGCATAAACGTTTCATAAAAACTGTTCTAATCTAAGCATGTTTATATGGCAAGAGGCTTGTATTATCAAACTACATTTCCCACTATCCTCTACAGCAGCACAAGAATGATAAAATGCATATATAATGCATACTTTACACACTTAATGCACATCGTTTGCTCTTCATTTGTTGCACCAAATCATAATTACGATTTCTGAAGCCATAAGTAGGCACTTGCCTGAAGGCAGCATTAGATACAGCTGGTGACACTTCATATGCTCTTCTGTCCCACATCTTCTCCCTCCCAATCCTCCTTTATCTCTTTCTCAGCCAACAGCCCTATTATTCTTCATCTGTCATAAACATTCACTATAAATAGACTCTTTTTTTCTAATGTGTCACCTGCTCCTGGTCTCCTCTCAGAACAAACTACAGCTCTTACAGTGATGACTGAGGGAGGCTAAAAATAGCGCTTACAAAAAATGGTCTAAATCTTTTTTGCCTTGGCCAATTTTGTCCTCACTTGATGAAATGGACTGTGGCAGCGATAGATCTATTTCAGAGGAAGCATCTCCAATTGTCATCCATTTCATTCATTTGTCAGACAGCCCTCAGATGTGAACTCCACTCTATTCCTCTTTCACAGCTTGATATCCATTCCAGTGAAATGATAAAACAAAATCCCACTTTTCACACAAATTCGTAGAACTGCTATTGTGGGTTCTATTTACTGGTTACATTAGGGTAGATTAGAAGCCTGAAAGTGTCTCACTCAAAAAATGGACCTGACCAATAGTAATCAAACTGTATAACTGATGATACACACATTTATCCACTGACCTACAAAATTCAGCAACTGTCAATGGCTTTGAATGACACTGTCAAATTAGATATGTCACAAGTTTAGCTGGCTAATTAGATTTATTATTCCCGCTAAAATGTTGTTTTATGTGAGACAAAAAAATAGCAATTTAAATTTGCTAGAGAAATTATTTTTGGACATTTCTAATTGTAATGTTGTCACTTTAGTTTCAAATTAGAATAATAATAATAAATTATCTGGCATTTTCATTTATTTGTACATGGTCTATTTAATATTCATAAGCTAGTCATGCATAAAAGTTAAACACTTTAACTGGGTAATAAGATTTACTGCTCTCTCTAAAATATTTTTATGTTATTTTATGTTAAAAATAGCAATTCAATATTCAAAAGAATTTATATAAATGATTTTTAAACATTTTAATTGTAAGGTTATTTCATTTAAAAAAAAAATGCATATAATTAATTAATCTACTTAAAAGAGTCATTTAAAATTATTTGTACATGGTCCATTTAATATTCATAAGCTAGTCATGCGTGATGAGCACATCAGCACAAATAATATTTACTACAGCACTAATTATTTAACACACAATTATGCTTATGTACCTGCTTTATAATGAATTACAGCTGATTCTATGGCATTTCATTCTGAATGTGTGTGTCTGTAAGAGGCACATACTGTATGTGTGTGATAAAAGATGATCCTCATCTCCTGGGAGATGTATGGACAGATGAGGGAGGGTTGATGAAAGTGAATAAGAGATGAGACAGGGATTAGCAGTGCTGTTTCAGTGTGTGTATCCTGCAGTGAGACTGATAGATCTGCAGCAGTCACCTCAAGCCTGACATACTGATCAGGACTGCAGACGTCTTTCTCCATCCAAACAACCCAAACCCGCAGAGATACTGCTACCGTTTGATGATGATGAGGGAGAGCCTGTTGCTATAGTAACAGGTCATGGCAACTGCTCTAACCTCTGCAGCACCAAACAAAGGTGCTAACAAGACACTCAATGACAGGAAACTACACAGATATGACAGTCAGAACATGACCTGTGTTGCACGCTCATATCATTAGAGATTAATTACTACAGATTAGTGTGTATGCAAAATGTGATGTTTTGTATATTGGTTTTCAGTGCTAGATTAGAACAAGTTAGTAAATACAGTTTCCTTCTGATTAGCTTCGCCTTTACTGCATCATGAAGGAGTAAACTGTAATTCTGCCACCTTCTGGAAATTTATGATTTAGCAACATTACCTTGCTTCACTGAAGTCAGACAATCTAGCACTGACTAGGTATACTACATTGACTGATATTAGAGATTTTGTATTTTCGGTATCGGTATCAAGTTATATTGCATATACATTTACTGATAAATTGTGCATGCTAATTTTACCTACACTGTTATGACTAGATCTACATTAAAAGCGCGATAATAATAATAATTTTAAAAATTATTTAAAAGAATCTGATCAATTTAAATGAATGAAAATGAATATTTATTTTTGATACATTATATTATAATGTGAGTTGAGTTTGGAGTGGGACTTTTTTGGCTAAAAAAAATGGTAGACCCATGTTTTGGGTGTTTGGCAAACTTGTTTGTGTGCCATTTTCATTTGGTGCTGCTAGTTTTTTGTTCAGTTTTTGTAACAGTTCATCAATTTTTGGATGTTTCCATTAACAATAATAACCTTGTTATCAAGTGTCTTATTGTGAGTGTTGAATCTCAGCATGAAGCACTGGGTTTGAGAGAAGAGCCACAGTTGAGTGGTTAATTCTCAGGAAAAAAAGCTTCTACTAAGCAGTGAAAGTGAAAGAGAATGTCACAGCTGATCAAATGATAAACTTGCAATCAGTAAACCTCCATGTAACACAGGCCAAATGTCTAAGACCACTAAATTGAAATTGTTAATTTTTTTTCCCCTTACAAATGCTAACATAAGCATGACAATATTAGAAAGGTTTATATTTTCACATGCATTTTCAGATGTATTTCAGAACTTATGTCCGGCATCATTTGCTTAATGACAGCAACACTTGAGCTCAGGAACGAAGTAATGCATAGACTTCCATGGGCTGAAGCTCAGGGGCCCACGCTGGGGAGGGTCCTATTTGCTGCATGATGCACCATGCTGCAATAATTACTTTTATATATAGGAATTTACAGCAGTAACAACTGCATTCTATAACCAAACTCACATCCGTACATTTTCAAGACTAACAAGCTCATTTTTGCTAAGCTCTGCTGTGTGAATAGAACCGGACAACCGGACTCACGGTTTCAGTGAGTTTTGTGGTCTGTGTGCAACTCAAATACTCCGCTCTCACTCTGTTGTCAGTTAATGTGACGCACGAACTTAAGCCTCGACTTTTGTCGATTCAAATGTGATAAGATTTTAGAGTATCATTTTACTTTAATCACTATCACTATGATTACAGTTTATAGATCCTATTGCACATTCATTAAGACAAAAATTGGATTTTGCTGATGTTATCAAGGACTTTTCAGATGGAAAAACAAGTAGGGAAAGTCATGTAATTTGAATTTATTCATATTTTAGCACAAATTAAAATGTCTATGAGGCCTAGTGGCATTTTTACTTGGGGTTGGGAAGCCTACTGCAATGCTGTAACCCAAGGACCTCTGGTTATCTAAAGGCACCCCTGCTTGAGCTGCATGAACTTGTGTAAAGCCTGAGGATCATGTTATCCAATATGATTTGAGAATGTTTCAAAGAGCATTCTGTGCTTCAACGGAAGAAAGAAAATCTGTCCTTTTTTACACTGTATAAAGTTACAATGTAATTGATTACTTCATGATTTTATGCCATAGGTTTGTTTTAAATTATCCAAAACAAATACTAGATTTACAAGCAAATGACTACATTTATGCAAAAGCTGGTCAAGATGCTTTTACCTGTGTGCTGAAAAGACTCTATCTGCCACCTGGATGCTGATGTCAGACATATCAGCCCTCTGATACAGAGCCAAAAGATCTGCCCCAAGCCCTAATGCTGGCCCTAAATGCTCTAAACCTGACAAACAAACAGAAATTAAGCAGAATGAGTAACAAGGCCACAACATGTTACGCTGGCTCTTACTATTCACAAACAGACATTAGCACTAATGCAGCTCCAGTGGACAGAACTGATCAATAAAGAACAATACGATTTCTGGATCAAATCAGTGAAGAAAAAAGTATGTAAATTATATCCGGAAAAGTTGTCCTTACCTGGGTCAGAGCTGACCTGAGAGTCAACATCATGGCCGTCTACAGCAGTGCCGTTCACTACCAGCGAGTGGCCGTTGTGTATATTTAAGGTGCTATTCTCCTTCACCAGGCACTTGTCTTCTGTGTACACCTTTCTGTTACAGAAAGCGCAACATATAATTTGTTACCAAACATGTATAGCACAAGTCTTTTACAGACTGGTACAGGACTGATCTATGGTTTTGTTTTACATTTTGAAAGGATCAAAAACAACTTTAATGCTATTTATTATAGTAATAGCCCAGAAAATGCCATTATGTACTGTATAAAGTCCTTGAGGGCTGCAGGTTCAATCCCCTGCAGGTGGATGACAGGTGTAGTTGCTTCGGTTCCCTGCAGGAGGTGAGGAGCTCGGGCCAGCAGCACCGCCCTGTGGGCCTTCAGCCGAAAAGCAGTACCCACACACAGAGTGACGTCAGTCTCCTGCTCCTCCTGCAGCAGCCTGTTGGAGAAAGAGATCTTCATCAAAATAATATTAAAAAACAATGCAGCAGTTCTGTTACTTTTGAGAAACAAACAAACAAATTGCTCAGCACCCCTTGCTATTTTGCTTCAATCGGCAAAACACTGCTGAGAGATTTTCTGATGCTACATTACGGATTTTTAATATTAAAAATAGGTGTCAATACCCAAGTAAACTAGTCAAAAATAATGTAGCCTAATGGTTGAAAATCTGGGTTGAAAACAAAAATACTTCATCTAACACCACCTAACTACAATTTCACTAGAACTGTTATGTAAACACACATACATTTCTATTCTAAGGTTCTATAGTGTAACGGAAGCCTGTTTTTTTTTTATGAGTTTAAAATATGAAATAGTCACACTATGATATATAAAGTTATGAAATAAAGTCTAAATTATAAGAAATAAAAACAATAATAAAGTCACTCTCTGACAAATCACAATTGTGAGATATAAAGCCGCAATTACCTTTTAATTATTTTTTGTACTCTTAGGCATAGACAGGCTTCTATAGTACTTCAGCATAAAAAGGTGTAAAAAGAAAAAGGAAGAAGGAAAAAGAAAGAAAACAAATAACAAAGACTAACCAGTGGTATTGGTAGTATTCTAAGGAGCTTGAAAAAGTAAATTAATATTTATTTTTTTTAACTATGATATGTCACTGACATTATATCTTATTTTAAACTTTATATCTCAGTTGCCCATTTTATATTTTACTGACACAGGCTTTCATTGTGTAGTAACAGGCTGACTTACTACGCATTAAAAAACCATTAGAGAACACCATAACTATTACTAAGTATCACAGATACTAAGGTATTAAATCTCTTCCCTCAACTTCACATCCACATCAACATCATTGTCAGCATCATTTTGGCATCTTCTGCTGCAGTGCGACGAATTTAGATGACCCAGAATCCTAAGTGGCCCTAGGCCTTTGTGCTGGGTGTTGATGTGACTGCAGTCCTCTCTCCTCCGATGTATGCATGCAGAGATGAAGAAGTGGAGAAGGGAATTGCATTTCCATCCAAACTAAAAATGCTGTTCCATCAGTAGTAATTACAGCACCAAGTGTGATGCCACAAGCTTACAGATGGCAGAAGACTACAGTGCACTTCAGTTTGGAATGAAAAAGAGGATACAACCTTTCAACAATTGGAAATCACTATGAAAACAACATGCTTGGTTCCTTCTTCTAAGACTAGTGGTGCATGGAACAGTCTTCATCTCTAAAATGAACAATAGTAGGGGTGTACCAATATTACAATTCTGGCCAATACTGATAATTTAGTTGATATTAATTTTATTATTATGGGCAGCAACTAATAAATGGAGAATATTACAATTCAAATACTAAATCAAAAATGAGCGGAAACAAGCATGCAAAATTAAATATTCAATATCAATCAATCAATCAAATATCAGATGTGTGGTACTGGCATATTGTGCATCCATAAACAATGAGTCTATTTTTCCTTAAATGCTGTCTTTTTTAATGCTACAATAGTGAACGGAATTATTTATTTTAAAAAATGTCCTAATAAAAAAATCTCTCTCTCTCTCTCTATATATATTTTATTTATTTATTCTTTTGTTTTAATTATTATTTATTTATTTTATAGAAATGTCTTTTTTTAATTCCACACTTTTAATTGGTAGACTACATGTACACATAAAGCAAATGATTAGAGTTTGCATATGAAATCACTGAAGGGAGTGGCATGAGCTGTGCAAACACTAGAGCAGGTTAGTGTGATTTGACCACACTGGTTGCTAAGAGTGCATCATATAACAACACTGATATTCCAGGCTCTGACCACTTCAGACAAGTTTTGAAAAAGAATAACCAAGGTCTTTCATGTTAAAGGTGATAATTACCGGTTCAGATCTCTTGACAGAGCATTTGCCAGTCGCTTCTTCAGCTGGTTTCTGCATTTGCGCTCTTTAGCTTGGAACTCCCGAGGAGCCTCAGTGGACGACATGTTATTGCCAAACTGCTGAGCCCATACGTCAGCACATTTCTGTGATGATAAACATCTGATGAGAGAAACAGGAAACACAATTCAGTCTTTAAACCGCAACCTTACTATATTTACTCTACAACAATAAATGATGATGATCACAAATTCACTATTTAATGATGCTTTTGTCTAAAGTGTCCTAAAGTACATTTATAAAAAAAAAAAAAAAACAGTCCATGTGGTCAATCAATCTGGGCTTTGTTTTATTTGTTTATTTATTTTGTCATTGTTTAGTTTTAGTTTAGAAGGGTTATATAAAAATCCTACTCCATAGGGGACAAAAGATATTTCGCATGTGAAATGTACACCAATATATATCCACTGGGAAGAAATCTATAATATAAATGATATTTTAATTATTTATTATTTGTGTGTACAATTAAGTTTTTATGTCCTAAAGAAAAGCTATCCTCAATATTTTTAATCACATGTAATATTTTTCCAAATAATGTTGATGTTAATATAGAAATGAACAATTAGGAGAGTAGCACAAAGTCAGATTATTATTACTATCATACATAATATCAAAAGTCAGCAGTATATTGTACCAAAATCCACTTGAATGTTGATGAAGGCTATGATTAGATATTAATTCTGGACGTGAAATGGAAAAAAACTTTAACAGATTAAATATAGTTTAAAGACTTTAACTTTTCAATATATTATTTTCACTCTCACTTTCTTTCTCTGTCTATAGTAGGCCTATACAACAGACACAATTTAGTTAATATTTATATGAAACAATATTTAAAATTCCTTCAAAAATGCATTTGAAACAGTGTATGAACCACTGACAGGGGCTTTTAGAGCTGACACACTTCTGTTAAATGGGGTTTGAACGCCACTTACCCAGTCAGATCTTTGACCACTAGACAACTAAGTTAAAGATGGACTAAGCATTTTAATAATAAAGTAAATTATTTATTATTAAAGGGTAGACTCATCTGGCTTATTTGCTCTTAAGAGACAAATAAAAAGTCTTGCTAATATTATAAAGCTTAGATGGACAAATCTGATCTCTATTAAAGGTCCCATATTGTCAAAACTGAAATTTCCTGGGTTTGGCAAAAGGAGAGTGGGACGGTGGGCGGTGCTCGGGGTGGTGACTGAAGGCAGTGACTGCGTAGTTCTGACGTCAACTTTTTACAGAAGTCACAACGGTTCGTGAAAAATAGCAAGAACTTTAAGCAGGCTGTGTGCATGTTACTGTGGACTGACTGTTTTGAAACTTATATGGTAGTTAAATAGCCCCTAGACCTCAGTAATCGTGAAAAAAGCTAGGAAATTTCAGCTTTGACAATATGGGACCTTTAAGGTTTCTCACTGTTAGCATGATTAGCATTCACACCTTTGAGTTACCATTTCAGAGAGCTATCAAAACAAGCCTGCTTGAATAAACCAATCATAAAATAATTATTACACAAAATCACTCCAAATATCCCCCACTGTTGTGCTAAATAAATAAAAGGGTGTGAATGTGTATTCATTGATTCGGAATGCTAGCCATTAGCCTTTAAACTGTCATTAACCAAAGAGATAATATTTATATTAATCTTACCTATAAGTGTATCTACAATTATCTACAAAAAGAGGATTATGTATATCGCCCTGCTGATGGTAAAACCAGACCACTGAGGCACAATGACATTTCAAAAGCATCAGTGAGGCTGTCGTGTTGTCAATGACAACAGTATGAGGACACTTACCTCGCGCACTATCACACCGAAAACTTCTCAAAGTTAAACACCCACATCTGCACTTAAATGTCCACAAACGATTCTGATAGAGAAAGTGAATTTTAGCAGTCCACGCGAAACTGACAGCTAAACACAACCTTCACAATTTACATGGGGAGTGTTGCCTGGGAGTTGGGGGTATTTCTACCTTTGTTTTGCTTCCCTCATGCGGTGCAAGTGTGAATTGCATGACATGCAAAGTAGGTGAAGGTTGTCAAGTTAGATTTGTGCCCAATGTAGTTGAACGAAAGTTTTCAAGCAACAAACCAAATTATAAACTGAGAAATTTAAAAAACTCTCTGGATGAATGAATGAAAGAATGAATGTCAAATCTAGACTTAGTTTTACAGGTAGCCCATTTTCTACGTTTCAAAGTGTGCTTTGTTTTCATTCTAGCCTATGAAGATGCTTTTGTCAGCTTCTGTACTTTCATACAAGCAACTGTCAAGATAGTTTTTTCCAAAACAAATGATTGTTAGGACTAAAAAGACCCCAGAGCAACCATTAACCCTCATTTTAGACCAAAAAAATGTTTAGATTTTTTTTTTAAATCGCTCATCGGAATGGTTCGAATCCCCCACTTATGTGAACTAGTCCCACGTTTTATCTCAAATTCAAGATTTTATTGATCTCAAAATCAATAAAATCACTGCAGTACAATTCTATAGAGTATCTAGGTCAATAATTATCAAACAAATATTGAACTTTACACTTTGTTAAGCTACAACAGGGTCACTTTTAAAGGTATGTGGCCATTATACCCAAAAACCTATAAATCCCAAACGAAAACTCAAAACTTCATGAAACTATGTGAGCATAAGCGACAGATGATTCTAAACAAGCATGCAACATTTTATGGAAATTTGCCCATAGGTGGCGCTATAACAGTCATAAATGTTAAAAATCATCATGTTTCTATGGTAAATTACCTGGATTTGCCAAAAAGGTTTTTTCTTTTTAAATCATTAATTTAGGTGGTAAGAGCCATGTTAACACAATTCCTTTTTCCTTATGTGCTTAAATGCCTTAAGTCCTTGTACATCGGTAATGTGCTATATTCTTTATTTTTTTTTCCACAATGTGGAACAAATCTGCCTCAATTCAATGGGTTTTAAATACTTTTGCTCTATTTTTAACTTAAATACTGCATTAAATAAAAAAATATATATAATTTTTAAAATATATTTCTTAGTCCATAATTGATGAATATTAATTATTAACATGACATACACTCAAAAGGCAATATATATATATATAAAAAAAAAAACAACATTATTGAAATGAAATATAGTATATTCATTTCACACAAATAAATTAATACGAATATGGCCTCCGGTCAGTTTTGACTGCAAACAACACAAGTGTGACTCCCAAATGAACAATACCTGAGGGTTAAACAACATGTGAACTGTGGACCACTTTTGTTAAATGAGGATGTTGTTTTCTGCTTTTGATGTCAGTGATTTCATACAAATGCTCAGTAGTTGAAGATAGTGAACATAATGCTTTTGTTAAATACATCCAGCTTTGACAAACGTAAACCTTCATTACATTCTGGATGCTAATATAAGAACATGGCCCTTTGTTGTGCCTTGCTTTTCCAGATAACTGTTTTCAGTTGTAATGTTTGAATTGTATTTTAATATAAAAAATTTGAAATGTTTAAATGCACAGGTTTGTGGGTTTATCCTGACAGTTCTCTTGACTCTAGAAGGACGAGAATTTAGAAATGTTAGAAATGTAAGCTATACATTTTATATACTGCTAACATTCGCTCATTTCGCTGTGACAGTGTTTGTTACCTGCTATTGATGGTTAATCTTAGCTTATGTGATATAAAAAATGGGGAGTGTTTATTTTTTGTTTGTTTGTTTGCTAAGCTATTGTTCTGAGTGACTAAAGTTTTTGGATTGATAGATGCTCCATTTTGCCTTTTTTAGTGTTGGGGGATACAGTTTTACCTATTTGAAATAATATCAGGGGCTAAAACTGTAGTGAATTTTGGTCTGTCAGAAATCTGTTTGAATATAAGCTGATATGATATAAGCTGTATGCCATACTATACAGTATGATCCGCCACCGCTTAGCAGTGCGAAAAACACTCTCTGGAACAATGGAACAAAACTCAGTATCCTTAAGCAGAAGATGCAAAAGCTTCTCCCTCAAGCTTCTTTTCCACAGGGAGCACACAAGCACATCAGGACCCCACAGGGAGTGCCCATTTGTTCCCCACAGGGAGCGCCCAAGCCTGCCTTGTTTCCACATGGCACACTCGTTCCTGTCCTTTCCCCCCAGGCCCAAGCGAGCACCCGTGCCCACCTCCTTTCCACATGTAGGCAGCACCTGTGCCGTCTCTTTTTCCACAGACAGCACCCGTGCCCTGTAGGAGCAAAGGAGCTTAAGTTAGTCCTTCCTATCTCTTGTTTTTTTACTTATTTAGCTTTATTTAAAAAAAAAAAAAACTAAATACTGCCTTTAACTAAGCTAGTCCTATGTTTTGCAAGAAATCCTTTTATATTATATTTCAAAATGGTTGAAGTCATATGTCTTTACATTTTGTACTAATTAAAACTAACTAAAACAACATTTGTCACACTCTTCAATCTGTGCTGCTGCTTTGTGCCTTTAAGCTGATTTCAACATTTAGTGGAAGAGTGAGGCTGTTTCCTGAAACCTAACAAAAAAAGTGTAATGTGAGCAGAACAGAGTCCCTATTTCGTCTAATGTCTTTATTCAGTACTCCAAAGTAACTGATAGAAGACCATATTTTATTTTCTGCACAAGACAGAAATGATTAAATTGTATTAAACAATTTAAAGGAGACATATTATGCCCCTTTTTACAATATGTAATATACGTCTCAGGTGTCCCCAGAATATATCTGTGAAGTTTCAGCAAATACCCCACAGATCTTTTATTATATCATTTTGAAAATGCCTATTATAAGTGGAATCAGAATCACGCTGTATTAGAGCATGTCTCTTTAAATGCAAATGAGCTGCTGCTCCCCGCCCCCTTTTCCAGAATAGAGCTGGGCCATTACAGATTGCACCTGCTAAAAACATCTGTTTTGGTTCTGATTATCATGTTTATCGCTGAAATCATGCATTTTAAACCATATTAGTTTAAACTTCTGATATATACGGTTTTCTGAGTGCACACATCCCAAGCACACGGAAAGAAAGCGGCTGTCACAGGCATGCGAGTACCAAACTAGAGCTGGTACACCGTTGTTGTCGCTTGCGAAATCATGATGGCGCCGTGGGTGGAAATTTACAGATTAAGGGGCGGTAATATTATAATGAGATCCCTTTGCAAGGTCACTAGGGGAGCGAAATCAGACTCGCTCGTTTTTTCAGATGCTTGCAGAAAAAAAAGGCTTACCAAAACAAAGTTACTTTGGGTTAATCTTTTTCACATTTCCTTGGTTGGTAGATGCACCGGGGACCTGATTATAGCACTTAAAACCTGGAAAAGTCAGATTAATTTTTTTCTTGTACATTGTGAGAAAGGTTTAAAAATACTGTATATATAAAGTGGGTCACTGAAAATAAATTAATTTATTTAGAGTCATGAATGTGGAAGAACAATAATACAATCTCACAATGAATAGTTCATACCTACGACAGTTTGATTTATAATAGCAATAAAAAATAATCATATAGAAAAGTGAAATTGTTGTGTAATTTATACATTTAGTAGATACTTTTATTTAGTAGAGACTGTGGTTGAATTTGATTAAACACAGAATGATTGGCTGCTAACTTGGTGTTGCACATAGAGTAGTGTTTATTGCATTACCCTAATGACTTGGATTTAAAAAGGAGGGCTGTGTTGGGTAAACCAATAACACTTTACAACAAGGTCCCATTAATTAACTTTAGTTAATGCATTTACTAACATTAAATAATAATGAGCAATGCATTTGTTACAGTTTTAAAAAAAAAATCTTTGTTATTGATTATAAAAATACAACTGTTTATTGTTAATTTATGTTGGCACAGGTCCATTAAATATAAATATTAACAGTTGCAAATATAGTTTTAATAATGTATTAATAAATGCTGATATTAAACTTAGCTAAGATTAATAAATTCCAAAATATTAAAGTATTTTCCATTGTTGGTTAGTTAATTAACTAATGTAGTTAACTTATTTTAACAAATAGAACCTTATTTTAAAGTGTTACCAGTAATCACATTACAAAACTGAGTGTGAAAGTTTTTTTTAAACATTACATTTAATTTACATGAATTTAATTCTGTGTGAAGATATTTACTGACCTCGTCCCAATGTTAAAATAAGCATTAAATTAATACAATTTATTTCCTCCCTTTTTCCATTACTTTATTTGAAATGAAAATTTGCCATTTCATCTTTATTCAGACTTAAAATGTTCCACGTATCTTAAAATTTGCAAGCGTCTTATTAAATACATGTTATCAATAACTGTTGTTTAAAAAATGTTTTAACTTTATACTAACTCTGCAGAACATTCTTGTATATGAACAGAGAGAGCAACAGGAACAGAGAGAGCAAATTCAAGTCAGTGACTTTCCGCTATTATTTATTTGCTTAGAAAATCAAACTGGTGCAGAGCTGGTTCTACTGTCTTAGATGCAGTGTTTAGGAGAAGATACAAAAAAGTGTACAATATTGAAACATCACTTTGTTTTATCATACAGGACGATCAAAATAATGACATTCTCAAATGTTTAAGCCAAATATTGTCAAAGATACAAAAAAGAATATCTTCTACTAAGACAACACTACCTGATAGAGAAGGTGGAGGGGTTTAGGACTCCCATAAGACTGTGTTACAGAGAGTGCAGAGAGTAGCAAATCATGATACAAACGACTGACAGCTCCGTCTCAAAAAGACATGGCACATCTTTTATGCTGCAAAATGGTATGTCGAAAGGCACCACACAATACAATTTACTCACAGATATTTTGCAACACACTTTTAAACACTGTCACCAAGAAACCTTAAGGCGAATGTCATGTGCAAACTTGAGAAAAATAGATTAAACACACTACTCTCTATGCAACCCCTCCGATTAAAATGTGCTTTTGTTCTTTTTCCGCTTCACTGAAGTTTGATTTGTTTCTATATCTTAG